CAATTAGGATGATATTTCTTTTTTTCTTTATATTTTTTAACTAGTACGAGTGTATTACACGGATACTTGTTAAAAAATTATATTTAAAATTAAATAATAACAACAAGAAAAATTGTTTTAGTTTTCAAATGTATTTGGAAAAAATATGTTATTATTTATATTTAAAATGACATTGTCACTTACTCGACTTACTATTTTATATTATATATTTTTTTAAATGATTTTTTTTAGTTAATATTAACAAGTAATTTGATTTTTATTATAAATATAATAAAATTATTTATTTATTTATTTTGTATGTATAATATATATGTAAAATCAAAAGTCATCACAACATGATTAGTTTTATATATTATATATAAAAAATTGTTAATAAATTATAATTTTATTAACTTTTAAATATATTTATAAATTAAGTTAGTATTTTTGTTATGATTTTAGAATAAATATTGAAAAAAATATACTTTATAAATCACGTTTACAATAGAAAATAGTATTAAAATATAATTAATGCCCTTAAAATGGACCATAAATATCCAATATATTTATGGCAAAATTGCATATAAAAGCACCACCTTTTATGTTTTTGCAATTTAATCACCACCTTTGTAATTTAGCAATTTAATACACAACTTTACTTATTTCTTGCAATTCGAATCACAGGGCCCAATTTCGGGCCTGTTCTGGTGACGTGGCATTTTGTGGTGACGTGGCGTTTTCACGTGTCAATGACGGAGCATCTTTGGGCTGACATGGCAGTCTATGTCAATTAAGAAAAAATATATATATATTTTGTAGGAAGGGGGGTTTGAACCCTGGTCTCCATGGGAGAAAAGTAACTATGCTACCAACTCACCTATACATGTTAGTTAACATATTTAATAACAATTTATATATATAGGATTACGTATGAATAAATTATATTAAAATATAAAATTAATTATAATAAATTAATTAAATATAAAATTATAATAAATTAAATTAAATTAAATGAAAATAAAATAAATGAAGATAATTAAAATATAGAATTTTATTAATTCATATTTTGTGTTAGAGTAAACCATATTAATAATATTTAATAGATAAGATTTTCATTATTTATTATTTAATAATCAGTTATTTTGTTTATTATTTTATTTTATTTTATTTGAATTCAACTTTTTTATACTTTATCATCTTATGTTATATTATTTTTATTATATTTTAATAAATATAACTTATTATGAAATAATAAATAAAAATAAATAAAAATCTTAAATAAATATAATAAATTAAAAATATAATTTAAGTAAATAAAATGTTAAATAATCGTAATGAATAATAAAACAAAAAGTGTTATTTTATATAAAATAATAAAATATTAAAAACTTAAATGAAATAATAATTTATTATATAATAATAAGTTATTATATTTATTATAAATTTATTTTAAATAAATAAATAAAAATATTAAATGAATATAATATTATTAATATGATTCACTCTAACACAAAATATGAATTCGAAAAAATATATTTTAATTATCTTAATATATTATTTTTAATTCAAACAATTTTATATAATTTTATTTAATATAATTAAATTATTTTTTTAGATTTAATTTGATTTCTCCATACGTAATGTAATGTGTATATATATAAAGGGTTATCACATTTAACAACTAAGTTGGATTGGTGTGGTGGTAGCTAAGGCTACCCTTCAACCCCTTCAACCCAGGATCGAATCTCAGAGCGCGCAACATAATTTTTTTTTTTAATTGACACATGGGTCGCCATGTCAGCCCAAAAATGCCACGTCATTGACACGTGGAAACACCACGTCATCACAAAAATGCCATATCAGCAGAACGGGCCTCCACGTCACCAGAACAGGCCCAAAATTGGGCCCTGTGATTCGAATTGCAAAAAATAACTAAAGTGGTGTATTAAATTGCTAAATTGCAAATGTGGTGATTAAATTGCAAAATCATGAAAGGTGGTGCTTTTATATGCAATTTAGCCTATATTTATGGATATTCTAAGTCTAATTACTTTTATATGAAAATAAATAAAAATCCATCCAAACTAAATAACAAAACTTAAAAATTTACCACGTAAGATTCCTAAGCGTACGAATCTGCTTAAGCTTAACACATTCAGAAATTATACATAATGAATGAATAAGATACTTAATTTGGACATGAGACAAATGAATATATGAAACTTCAGGAAAGGGAGAGTGTGAGATTTTTACTTTTTTGAAAAATTCTGTGTCGCTCATTAATGAAATGGAAAGTAAAATGTTGGTTTAATGAAAAAATAATAATAATTTGAGATTATGAATAAAATAAATTCAATCATTAAAATTAATATTCCAGATAAATAGTAAAATATTATTTGTTAATTAGATATATGTGGATGACTAGAAGTATTTTTTTAAAAATATATAAGAATAATTAATTTCTATTTAATTAATGTTGATAACCAACCAGATTATCCGAGTTTGGAATGAAGATTCGTGAATAATATTCCGAGATTATCACTTAAACCAGCTGATACGCCAAACTCGGTGCAACTTGGTGAGAGCCAAGTAAAAAACCGACTTCACACTTAGAGATACGACCAACTTCTCAAGAACCGAGATCCTCCTAAAAAAAAAAAGAGGTCGGAGAAGACCACAACCCAAAGCAGGTGATGAGACACCTACGGGACTGAACTGTGACCACATAAAATTGCAATCATCATTGCAGGCTCACTTGCTGACAACTGCCTCCATAAAGACACTTTACATTAAATTCGGCCACACCAACCTCGTACATTGGGCCACGAAAGTTACTATAAATAGCAGAATTTATTATTGTATGAGGATCCTTTTCACGCATTCAATACACTCCTACCATTCAACTCGGTTTATGCGAAAATCGACTTTCTGTAACACTTGATTATCAATTTCTAAATACAAGTTTCTTACATTTCACATAATAACTACGTGTTATTGTCGTTGTTAAAATTCGCATAACAACAATATTAGTGGAATTTGTGAAAAAAAATTGGATGAAACGAATAATTATTTTATTTTCATTTTTTTTTGATATGCGGTATTATACATGAAGGAGTAAACCGGTCTACTGTGCAGGTCGAACGAGTCAAGCAAACTGAGTAGGCCGGATTGATAGGTCAGAGTCGAACAAGGGTCGTGGTCGAATACCACGAGAGCAATATACAAGGGACATCGGATGAGGATAATGGGTTGGTCCCGGGTCCATGGGGGATAAGGTCGAAGGATCGCCCTTTCGAGCAAAAGGTTATTGGATCAACCACTTCACAGACGGAGATCGGTCTAAAGGATCGACTAAGACACAGTCGAGCGCAAGAACCTTCAGAAAAATTCTAAGGAATCTTTAACCCATGTGCGGGGACACGTGGCGCAATTATATTGGTTTGTGGCGATAATCGTTTCTGACACAGACACACTGCGTGCGTACGGACGGGCAGGCCGTGAAGTTTTTAGGCAGCCAGCTCATGTAACTCGGGCAGCTTATAGGGCAGATATTCCACCCTTATCTATAGGGGTGAGCTTTACTTCTTGAGCATGATTCATCCATTTTTACGCCTGAGAATTGAATAAAACAAACACTGACTTAAGCATCAGAAACTCTTCACCGAAAAACCACTCTGGTGTGAGAGTTCTTTTCAGGTACGCGGCGAGGAAAAAGAAGGCAAGTCGATTTTCAGCCGGTCAGAGTGTTTTTGACGTTACTAGTTTATTTATATTTCAAGACAATTTGACTAATAATACAAAATATTATTATTATTATTATTATTATTATTATTATTATTATTATTATTATTATTATTATTGTTATTATTATACATCAATCGTAGCTTAAATTTCAAGCTCAAAACCAACAACTTATTTTCAAGTTAAGTCCACAAACACCAAGTGTTCCGTAGTGGAACACTGGAACTGCCGAATTTTTGGAATAAGATAAGAATTTATATTTGTCAAACACAACAACTATATTTATTTATTTATTTTTCTTTTTTCCGTTAATAACTCTTGTAAGTTTTTTCTATGGTCCCCTTAGCTGCTGGCCCCGCCACAATGTAGATCTAATGATGCAATAATATTAGTGGTTTTGAATTGATCATAGAGCTCCAAAAACCATCTTATTTCTCAAAAATACCTTTGGATGTTAGGCAACAGATTCGAAGAAAAATATAGATAACAATTATATTAATTCAAAACGTGTTGAGCTTAGGTGTCAGATTCCTACGCTTCGGATGCTGACATGACGAAAATTTA